GTAAAAGAACATAAGGGTCAACATTAACCAATGCACAAACCAAATTTTATTGAAATCGGTTTACCCATGACAAAGTTAGTCAAAATAATTACTATCCCACAGTTTAAAAAGTATCTTGTGTGTTATTGCAATACCTAAGACATTTGCATTCCAAATTTCATCAAAATCTGTTCAGTTGTTAAATACTTTCAGAAATGGCGAATGCGCTGGGATTAATTCTAACCGATAATTTTGCATTTTTAATTATCCCACACAACTGTGCTATTTTCTTGGAATAAAAAGTATCCCATGTCACTTTTTAACCCATAAAATATTTCTACGCCATAAACACGACGATCCATTGCTGCGTATTTAAATAAAAATAATGCATAACGAAACAAACTAACACCCTGTGGAATCAAACTATGTAAAATTTATATTTGTTCAACTGTTAAAAAAATCTAATTACCAGCCACCTTTAAAACATAAAATTAAAAAAGCAATAGCAGTAAAATTCTAAAGCACAAAACTTAAATGCAAACTGAAAACGGTGTAATTAGAAAACACAAACCTTTGGCATTAACAAAATCGTCATAATTAAATTTGTTTGGGCCTCTGAAACGTGCATTTACCTTAGCCAAGTTTTTATGGCACGCCCGGAAGATCAAAGGTTTGTTTCAATTAAATCTAGCGGGTAAAACTTTATTTTAAGTGCGTAATTACAGGAAATACAATAGTATATTACACTACAAGGGCAGAAAGTGTGAGATTCCTGCATTGCGCGCCATGATGCCCGAGGCGAAGCCGAGGGCATTATGGCGCGCAGTTCAGGGCTCTCACACTTTCTGCCCGTGTAGTGTATACTATTTTTCTTACTACCTCGGCCGAAAATACAACCCGGCCGAAAATACGGGAAAAAATTAAATGTGTATTTATGTACTTATCTCCATTTGAAGAGCTTAATAAATAAATAACAGTAGGCCGTGAATTCAGCGGTGCCAATACAGTAAAAATAAAACGTTGTTTTTTAATTAACAAATTACTACTTTATAACAAATAAAAGTACCATTAAACGCTTAAAACAACATAAAAAGTAAAAAAGTTGTATTTGTTGTTATAATTGCAAAATTATGGTTTAAAACTGTCATATTTTTGTGTTTCTCATGTTGGCAGTACGAAATTTGAATGTTAAGCACACGACTAAAAAATTTTTACTCCCGCTATTAGAGTGTGCGCGTATAGCTTGACCAATGCAAGAAACGTAAACTTTCTGTCGTGAAATCGGGGACGAAACAACGTATTTTGAGTCGAGGTAGTAAGAAAAATATTTTTTCTACTCCCACCTTTAAAACGCCCTTTATCGTACATGTTTCCATGACACTAATTGACCATTTAAATACACATTGACAAGTTGTGGCATTACGGCGCTTTAGTCAAGGGCTGAAGTTAGCAACAGGTTTTTAGTCACGGGCTGAAGTTAGTTTTAAGTTAGTTGATATGTCAAATGTCATACAATCGTTAAAATAAAGTGCCTTTCTTGTAAAATAATAGTAAATGTGAAAATTATTTTATTATCTCAATACAAAAATACAAAAATATTAAATAGTTTCTCAACGCCAATATTTGAAAAGTTTATATGAACATTGTACTGACCTTTTAATTTCGCCGGCAGTAAACTATAACTTAAATTCGGACACGGACTCTACTGTAAAGTCCTCATAAAACATTTTACTTTCACTGTGAAAAACTGTCAATTTTCAATGGCGCTCTATACAAATTTTTGATTTAAATCATTTTAAGATAATAATAAGTATTTGTCGTAGAAAAAGTTTAGTATGCACCTCGTTTATAAACTTTTCTATCCACTCATTAATTTAAGAACTCGCTCGCAAGCTCGCTCGTGCCTAAATTAAATTCGTGTATAAAATGGCGTTTATCAAACTTGATACATAATATACTATTATACGTGTATTAAGACTAAGTAACATTCTTTGGTCCCTATCATAAGATTATAATATTTTAAATGTGCTTGGAAGTCAAAAAGACTTTATTCAAATAAATAATGGAGTGCCGCAAGGGTCTGTACTTGGACCTTTACTATTTATAATTTTTATGAACGACTTATTTTTTAAAAAATGCTACTGCTGTTTTTATGTATGCTGTTGATGTAGATCGTGGGCGAGGCTAGTTTTAATATGAAGTCTTTTTATATAGACTTTTAAAATTTGAAAATTATTATTATAAAAATTTTTTAAAATTATTTTGAGTTTATGATGCAAGTATAAATTTTTAAGTTTTAACTAGCATATGATTATTATTCTTTTTTAAAAAATTGCAGTTTTTATTACCTGATAAGTAATTTTTAAATAATAATACTTATCAATATTTAGCATTTAAAATGTTAATAAATACATTTTTATCATCAACTCGTTATTTTTTAATTTTACGAATATTATATTAATTGATAAAATATTATATAAAAGAAAAACTATTTGGTACGAAACTATTCGTTTATTACAAAATGAATACTTCAACAAAATACTTGTATTTAGATTTAGTCGCCTTGGTATTAATTGGTAAGTATAATATATAATAATAATAAAATAAAATATAAAAACATTACTTTTACAACTTAAATATTTAAAATTAAATTAAATTTTCAAAGTAATTCTAAATTCTAAATTTTATATTTTAGATTTTGTTCATTCTTATGATTGGGATGAAGAAAAAGAGTAATTATTATTATTTTATTATTATTATTAACTATTAATTTTTAAAACAATACAACAATTTTCCATAAACCATTTTTTGTAGTAAATTTGTAAAAATATTTCTAAAATTGCGTAAACTTAACCAAAATAAAAAACTTGACGTTAGAACAACCAAAGACAAACTTTTTAAATGTGCATATCACATTGTACGTCCTGGTTGGGTACAGGATAATGTTTGCAATGCGATCTTTAGGGATTATGATCCTATGGAGTCTATAAAGTTTATGATGAAGAGAGCAAAATATTGGTGGGGCATGGACGTTAATGGTTGGCATAACTGGATTTATTGCTCGGAAAACAGCTTGGGAATTTTGTAGATATAATGAAATAATGTTCTTCTTAATTTAAGTGAAATAAATTTAAAAAGAATATTTTTCTATATTTAATAGTATTTACCCGCATAATCTTTGTTTGGTATTGTATAACTTAATTAACTTTTATTTTGATTAATTACTATTCATTTAAAAAAATAACCCTATGAAGTAAAATTTAATTGTTTTAATATTTACAATAAGTATTTAATATTTGATATTCCAATTAAAAAAAAATGCCATTTTTCGGCAGCCTGTATATTTAATAAAAATTTCTTTTAAAAATAGGAACTACTTTTTTCAGTTTAAAGCAGTTGGGATATATTCCCTCTTTGATACAATCATTAAAGAGTATTCTTATAATAACGTCTTTCATGGCCTTAATAGGTGATATATTTAACATGTATATTTCCTTACTATTTTTGTTTTTTTAATTGGTTCAAAGCATCTTAAACCTGTACCTGGTGAATTTTGGGTATACCAATATTTCAGTTATTAGTCATGGGACCCACACCAAATTTATAATAGTTTATAATGACATTAAATAGACAAGTTTGGCGCAAACAGAATTTAAATTGAAGTTTGCGAAAAAAGTAAGTTTTTCCTGTCGCATCACCCGCCTCCAGGCCCCCCTATTTAAGATAATTCAAATTATTATTACTAAAATAAAATAGTAGATTATGTCATAAGGAGTAGAAGTGACTCTTTTTGTGGTGAGTATAGAGATTGACGGCCGAAGCGTAGCTGAGGCAGGCAACTGTACAAAGCACAAAAAGAGCTTCTACTCCAAATAACATATACAATTTTTTTTTCAAGAGCGTAATATAAATAGAATAAGCAATAGAAATATTTTATTTACTCATAACTCATGTGGTATAAAAGCATTAGAAATTATTGATAAAAACTAAAAAAACTTATAACCCTTACTTACAATGCCGATAAATATCCTAAACTAAAAATAAACACTGCTCTGTCAAAATGCTGCGCTTGAATTAATTTTGACGTACTGACATTTGTTTGGAGTTCCGACATTGGCGACTCGTCTATCATCATAATATTATACTAATAAACTAGTTGTTCTTTATTTCGTTCAATTAAAATTTAATAAATTTTCACTAAATATTCCGTGCGATTATAATTAATATAATTAGTACATCGTGATTCCTTTGTATGAAATGCTAAATTAATTTTATTATTTGACGTCTATTGAGACACCTATGGATTTACTTCTATCCCTAGGCTTTTTTTAAGTTTTTTGTCTGCCGCTAATGAAAAAGACGCACTTCAACTATCTCTAAACAGGCATATAAGGTTGTATATCATGGCCGCTTGAAAAAAAATATATTTAAAATGGTATAAAACCTGTAAAATTTGGATTTTTAAATAAAATTTTAAATTTGTCAATAAATTGTAGTAGATAATAAATTGCACCACTTTAATTTGAATTATCTAAAATAGGGGGGCCTGGAGGCGGGTGAGGCGACAGGAAAAACTAACTTTTTTTCGCAAACTTCAATTTAAATTCTGTTTGCGCCGAACTTGTTTATTTAATGTCATTATAAACTATTATAAATTTGGTGTGGGTCCCATGTCTAATAACTGAGATATTGGTATACATAAAATCCACCAGCCGCTACTGCCATGAAAACAGCTGCAAGTCAAAAACTGATCCTGAAAAAACAACGAAATATTCCTGACTCCGATCATCTTGAATTAATGCCACAATACCATAAACCAAAAATAAATATTGCACGTTTTTTTTGAGGTTAGAAAATGGGCGATGGCGGAATTTTGAACTGTGGGGCTGTGTAATTAATGTCTAGCAATTAAAAATAATAATAATGGGGCATTTTTATCATCAAATCGTTATTTTATAATTTTATGAATAATATTTCTTACATCATTAAAAATTGTATCTTACTTTATAATTATTAATAGGTATAGGTATATAAAAGGAAAACATTTTGGTGCAAAACTATAAATTTGTATTAAAATGAACATGCCAACAAAATACTTGTATTTGGCTTTGGTCGCTTTGGTATTAATTGGTAAGTCAAAATTATATAATAATAACAAAATTTTACCAGAACTTTCTTTTTTTAAATTTTGTATAATGCAAATAAAAAGTGTAATTACAAATAATTTAAGCATAATTAGGTCAATATCAGAGAATTTTTTAAATCAATGTAAAATGTAAAGATACTTAATTGGAAAACTTTCGTAAATATCGATTTTTTTCTTAGCTGTTTTGGCCATATTTAATTTTAAAAGTTATTATTCTTAATGCGATTTTAGATTTTGTTTATTCTTATGATTGGGATGAAGAAAAAAAGTAAGTCCTGTTGGTTTTAAAACAATTTTTTATAAAAAAAAATTTATAGTATATTCGTAAAAATGGTTGAAAAGTTGCGCAAACTTAACGAAGACAAAAAACTCGATGCTAATAAAGTCGATGAAAAACTTAGTGTATGTGCAAAAGCTCATATAGGACGTTCTAAGTGGGTAAAGAAATATGTTAAGGAAGCAATTTTTGAGAATAAAGATCCTATGGACACTATAAATCATTTAATGGAGCAGTCACGTTCTTGGAGCATGAACGTGGATGGTTGGCATAACTGCATTTATTGCATTGAAAACGGCTTGGGAATTTGAAAGAACTAATGAAATAATTTCTCTTTTAAGTCTATATAATAAATAAAGTATTTGCCCCTATAACATTTTTGAAGTATTCTTTCTCCTTTAATTGAATACTTTATTTGGGATTTTTATTAAGTAAAATATTAATGAACAAGTATTCGTAATCCAGTGTTGCTGGATGTTCTAGACGAAAATGACAGATTGATAATTTTGGTTGGACACAGTCAATATTATTAAATTCATTAATTTTTTAATTACACGTTAGAAGATTTAATTTAATTTAATTTAATCTAATTAACGCATATCTTAATTATAACGACAATAAAAAATCAATGATTTTATTCACAACACAGTTTAGCAATAATAAACTATATCACCCTGTGTAGTCTTACCTGCGTTTTGTCAAAGAATAGGAAGAAAAAGGGTGTAAGTGAAAAGCGTAGTCTCCATTTTGCGCGATTTATAAATAAGATGTTAATTAATTAAGTTTGTGTAAAGAAACACGGGACTTTAATGTTTATTTTTCTAAAGGGTTTCTTTCGTGGTTGGGATTGTTTTTCTTAGAGGAAAAGTCGGCATTAATTAATTACTTTTCAAGAAATATATACCATTTTATTTTATGGTATGACAAAATATTTTTAATACTTAATTTGTTCAACATCATTATGGATACAAATCAAACATTATGTTCCAGATTTAATTGGTTTTGTCACAATGTGCGCCTTATCGCCACTAATTATTATCCATAGCCACCTTTCACTAATTACTATAATGAGTCCGCTCGTAACTTTTCTTCACATCTCCTAAATGTAAAAATAGACTTCCATGTATTGAGTCCTCGCAGTTTTTGCCTTTATAAAGGGTTTTTTATTAAGAGTGATAGATCTTTGATCAATGATGACGTTGTTATTTCAAAAGATTCTGCTTTCATTTTTTGACGTACGTATTCTACGAAACTTGTCATTTTATAATGCCCAAAGAATCCAGATAATTCAAATTTATTATCAAAATCGACGAATTGTGACAAAATTTGAGACAACCGGATCTGTTACGAATCTCCCAACACCTGTGCGTCGTCGTAACGCCCGGTCTGTTGAGAATGTTACTGCTGTTAGAGAAAGTGTACATTCTGAAACCCTCCCAACGTTCATAAAAATTGGGACTTTCTCAGTCTTCAATTTGGAGAATCTTGGGAATAAACCCCTATTACACAGTAAAAAAATATTTGTTAATTTTAACCAAATGTTAACTAGATTTTATGCTAATCCAGGTCCACATAACTTTAAGTTAAGTTTACAACAATCTGTAATCTGTTAACTTATTGAATAAGTAGTTTGTAATTATATAACAAACATTTTGTAGATTTAACAAAATCCTATGTCAATATTTTAACCATAATTCTTGTAATTTTGTATTTTTATAAACCTTTTTGTAGACTCTCGAAAGTTAAATTAAAATAATTTTAATAAGAAATGTTGCTTTTTTGTCAATTTCCTAAACAAAAAAATTAACACATGCCTACATAAATGAAGTCAAAAAAACATACACACAATTAAATAACATAATTCTGAAATCATCAAATTATAAAGATATATGGTACAATATAATTTATCAGTACTACTACAACACTTAATGATGTAATTATTTCGTCTACGCTTTTCTTTAATTTCGTTCGTGTTTCTCACCAGCACCAATAAACAGCTGTTTCCCTTTATTGGAACATCAGTACCGAGTTGCTGTATGGTGCGGAACACAAACGAAATTATGATTTCTCGTCCTCATAAAGGTTTTGAAATCATTTACTGCGGTGAGGCGAAAGTAAGTGGTGCCATCTAACGTCTTAAACACATAACTTAAAGAACATGTCAAAAAACGGTAGATGGCACCACTTACTTTCGTCTCACCGCAGTGAATGATTCCAAGGATATGGATCTGGAAAACATGTTTTGCCAACAGGATGCCATACAGCACGTAAAACACTGGACTTGATAGCAAGCAAATTTCCTGGGTCTGTAATTTTACCTAACGGCCTAATTGGCCAGCGAGATCATGTGATCTTACTCCTTTGGATTTATTTCAATAGAGTCTGATGTATCCAAATAAGCCTCGAAGTATTGAAGCACTCAGAGACAATATCCGATACATCATTGGCGAAATACAACCCGATCTCTGCCAGAAAGTAATCCAAAATTGGGTTTTTCAAATGGATGCAACCCATCATCAAAGCTGCGGACGCCATTTGCCAGATGTTATTTTCCATACATATGTATTTTAATCTTTAAGTAAAACCAAGTCGTTACCTTGTTTCGCAACTTGTTCAATTACACTTCAAAGATGTATTACTCTCTTTGAAAAATCCTTCAGAAGAAGACGCTCGATGTTTGGGTGCCACATAAAAAATATATTGAATTTTATTTTGCTTATCTCGAAAATTAACAAAGCTTGTTTTGGTCTCTGCAAAACTCCCTTAATGGTGTAGTGCTTTCAACAACATGTTATGTATACCTTACAATTTGTATTATTATTATTTACCTTTTTCTTGCTACTCGCTGTACTTGTACTTGGGTGAGATTTCTTGAATAACCCGAGTCAAAATATGAATTAATTAAATAACGCTGTGAATGAGAGTTCTTGATTTTAACGAATAGGTTAGAAACTCGAAAATGCTTTAATTCAAATTTTTACTTATTAAGAAAGTTTATTAATTAAGCTTAAAAATGTAATATAAATAATTTAAAAAAAAACTTATATTATATTGATTCGGTCTTTTGGGCCTCATCAGTGTCGGGTAGACATGTGGCGCAAATTACATTCAGACAAGACACCCATCGCTGTTTTATTGCAGCAAGCTTCTACTACAGCGCGCTGTAGCGCTGCAGCGGTGGCAACACAGTGAACGAGAGCCCTCAGCGCCATCTACTGTCCAACTGTTTAAAATGCCATAAAATATCATAAAAAGTCCAAAACCCGTCTTAAACTGAAGTTATTATACCTTAACAACTAACATGAGAAAAACCCAGAATCTGAGTAAAGTCCACAGGTAGGTTAGGTGAGATAAATAGGGGAGATAAGAAAAGTGCGAGGGTGGAGAGAAGAACTAGTGCTGATAAAATTGGTGTTTTCGGATAATATTTATAAGGAAGTAAACGGGAAAGAGAATAGAGATAAATTGCCGCGAAGTGCTTGGCTTGATTTAGAACGTGATTACGATATTAGGTAGACTGCGCACTTTGCAGCTACTAGCACAGTCGGTAAAATCAACACGTTTTATTTTATACAATTAATTTAATTTTTTAAATTTATACTATGCTAAGGTCTAAAAACAGATGTTGAAAAGCAAATTGTTATTTTGTTGATTGTTTCGACCTTTACTTGATGAAACTCCATATTATTAATATATGAATGAAAACAACACTGTTTTAAAGTTTCACTATTTTATTTATGTTTTTTAACACAGTAGCTTCTTCAGAATTAGTACCTACATATTTTTATTAAGTGGCGGTATTTATATTAACTAATGGATTTGGAAATTCCTATCGAATATAATTTTATAATATTAATAAATATTATTTTTTTTAGTTCTACATGTATATAAACAAAATTACTTTCAATTTAACAATAAAATATGTATATACGAGTCATAATGGCCTAATCATGGGTAATCCTCTTAGCCCATTATTAGCGGATATCTTTGTGAACCAATTGGAGATAATTATACACAAACGTCCCTATATTGGTATCGATATGTAGACGATATCCTAACGTGTTTCACAGGTACAAAACGACAACTAAACATTTTCTTGAATTTTATAAATGGGTTACACCCGAATATTAAATTCACAATGGAAGAAGAAATTATTTATTCTATTAATTATTTAGATCTAACAACCCAAAAAAAGAAAAGACACCACACATTCAAAATTTTTCACAAACCCAGCTACACAGATATAGTTATACATAAAAGTTTTTCTCACCCCTTTTCACACAAAATAGCCGCATTTAACTCTATGGTCCATAGACTCTTAAACGTTCCATTATCAGAAATAGATTATAATTACGAATTAAACCTAATTAAACAAATAGTACTTAACAACGGCTATGATGCACAACTAATTAACAAAATCTTAAATCACAAAAAACAAAAAAAACTATCAACAACGTTTTTTCAACATCTAAGATTACCATAAATATATATATGTAACAGCTGTACATATCTAGGTGTTAATATGAGACTTGTATCTTGTATATTATTTAAAACTAACAAAAACCTTAGTAAGTTTATCAAAAACTACAAAGATAAAACATCAAAATCTTCAAAATCCGGCGTTTACCAACTAACCTGCAGATACTGTCCAAAAACATATATAGGACAAACGGGAAGAAATTTTAATAGACGAATTAAAGAACACAAGAAATCCTATATAAACCTTAAACAGGATTCTTCATATGCTAATCATCTAATATAAGAGAACCATAAATTTGATGATAACTTTAGCATATTTCATGTAGCTAATGAAGGTACCAAACTAAATCTTCTAGAGTCTTTGGAAATTAATAAAGTAAAGAAAAAATGTGATATTGTTTTTAATGACCAAATTGAAACCAACAGCTCGCCTTTGCTAAATTTATTTTAGAACGTATACTTGTAGTACTAAAAAAAATTAAAAAATATTTATTAATATTATAAAATTATATTCTATAGGACTTTCCAAAATTGTTTTAATAATTAATACCTTCAGGTATAATGTTTATACAACACTTTTTCTCAAATTATCTGCCATTAGTTAATATAAATACCGCCACTTAATAAAAATATGTACCAATTCTTAAGAAGCTACTGTGTAGCGAAACAATTGTTAATCATTTAAAAAACATAAATAAAATAGTGAAACTTTAAAACAGTGTTGTTTTTATTCATATATTAATACAAATTGTTATTATTAGATAGTAGTCCAGGACGAAATTTATTAGATCGAATGATCTGGACGTTGTGAATCAGTAAGGACATGTATACGTGTATAGATTATATTTTTACTTTTCAAAAAAAATTAGAGACTGGACATGTCAAAGAAATTCCAAAACCTTGGTGACATTTTGTTACGTGCGGAAGAAGATGCTCACAGTGCTTATAGCCTAGTCGCAGCTGAAAGTCAAGTCAGCCAACGCTCAGTATTAGGTCTAATGAAGAAAGAAAAGTACCGTCCATACAAAGTTGGACTGCCGCAGGAACTTAACGAAGATGATCCGGACCGTAGACTAAAATTTTGTAAAACTATGACTATGACACTTTCCTCATAAAATACTTTTTTTAGACGAAGCTACCATCTGTTTAAATGGTGATAGTCAACCGTCAAAATTGTAGGTACTGGATCAGAGAAAATCCTCATTGGGTAGTACTATAGTAGAGGTAAATTGCCAATACCGGCAAAATTGAATGTCTGGACAGGAATGGTAGAAAATCGTAAGTCCTTTCTTCTTTGACGAGAATATTTCAGGACAAACGTATTTGGAATTTTTGCAAAACTCTCTTCTACCCAGATTAGCAACAATGTTTTCCAATGAGAATGGAGGTCCCGATCTACTAATTTAGAAGACCTGAAAAAACAAATTCGTGAAGAATGTCGCTTTGTTGGTGCGGAAGTCATCCAAAACTTTCTCAGAAAATTTTTGGATATGCTTCGAACATTTAATTGGTTTGTGTATCTATTTTCAAAATAATTTTCATGAAGACAACAAATATTTTTTTGGAAATAAAAATTTTTAAATCACGAATTTAATAATACCCAAAAGTTGGACATGCGCATGTTGCTAGATTCATAATCTATTCATAATCAATTCTTTTTTATGGTCGTCTATAATCCTCATCTAAGGCCCATAAAAAATTGACCATATATAATAACTAACTGTTGTAAGGGTTTCTAAAATATCACAATTTTATTTACCCAGTATGTGACCGTGCTGCGTCGCGTCGCTAAGGCAAAATTTTAATCGTATTCAATAAAGCAAACATATCTCACCTCGATCCGCTGAACTGGCATTGTGCCTGCCACTGGCACTGCCACCCCACACAATATGCCTGGCTCAGGTCGCTCTCGACTGTTTTAAGAGCCCAACCGATATTTATTGCACCACGACACAAATAAAGGAGGTATGAAATACTGTACCTACTGAATATATATTTATAGATAGATTTCCTTTTTAAGGATTTAAAATAAATATTTACTCATTTTAACTTTAATGTTAAAATTCCCTCGTTATTTATAACTCTATTAAAAGTGCCATATAAATTTTTGTCAACTTTCACCGCACAGTCCAACCGAAATTATCAATCTGTCATTTTCCTCTAGAACATCCGGCAACACTGGATTACGAATACTTGTTCATTAATGAAAGGAAGTAGATAAAATAAGATTTCAGAGGTAAATATAGACAAATATTTTTTTAAATTTATTTCATTAGTTCTTCTAAGCTCTCAAGAGGTTTTCAAAGCAATTAAAGCAGTTATGCAAATCATCCACATGTTTCAACCATTAAATTCGTTATAGTTTTCTTAGGATCTTAACACCATCATATATAAATTTATGTTTTCCAATTTTAACATTTAGTTTCTTTTCTTTATCAAGTTTGCGAAATTTTTCTACAACTATTACAAATTTCTTAATTAAATTTTGTATGAAAAATATGTTTAAATTATATATTACTAACAGGACTTACTCTTTTTCTTCATCTCACTCATAAATAAGAACAAAATCTAAAATATAAAATCACGATTAGAATAATTTTTAAAATTAAATTTTATTTTTAATGTTTTAATGTTTAAGCCCAATAATTTATATAAAATAAAACTAAAAAACTTAAATTTATTAATAATAACAACGTTATTAAAATTATTACTAAAATAGAAAGTTTCAGAAAACACATCTGGCAAACATGTTAACCTCTATTTATCTTATTATAAAACAATTTGTTATGTTATTTTAGTTGTAAAACAAATGTTTTGACTTACCAATTAATTCCAAAGCCGTACAAGTATTTTTAGTAAAATATTCATTTTAATAATAAATTTATAGTTTTCCACCAAAAACTTTCGCTTTTATATTTTATTTTATGAATAATAAAGTATTATAAAAATTATTTCATAAAATTATAAATAACGAGTTGATGAATATTATTATTTTTAAATGCTAGACATAACTAAATTAACACAGACCCACAAAAAATGTTAAAAATTAAAGCGTCTTCGTGTCGACCAAACATTCGGATTTATATATGAATACATGGGGGGCAGTAGCAGATCATTATTAAAAGTAGAAAGTATGGTCAGGTAGATCTAAGAGTTAAATACAAAAAACCTTTTAAGGGTTTAAAATAAATATTTACTCTTTTAAATTTAAACTTTGTTGTTTATAAAGCTATTAAAAACAATATGGCTGGTTCAAGCGCATGTGGGACGGTTACAAACTTACTGTAGAAGTGCTATATAAATTTTTGTTAACCTTTACCGCACAGTTTTGCAATAATAAACGATAATGTTGATTGTGTCCACTCCAATATTATCAATCTGTCATTTTCGTCCAGAACATCCGGCAACACTGGATTGAGAATACTTGTTTATTGATGAAAAGAAGTTGGGTTGCAAAATATTTCCGGAAGTAGATACAATAAGATTAAACGGGTAAATATAGACAAATATTTTTTTAAAATTTATTTTAGGTACACAACTTAAAAGGGACATTATTTAATTAGTTCTTCTAAATTCCAAAGCTGTTTTCAAAGCAATAAATGCAGTTATGCCAATCATTCACACCCATTGACCACGACGACGATTTATTCATTAAAAACGATATAGCTTCCATAGCATCGTCTCCATCAAAAACCGCGTCTTTAACGGAATCACATACCCATCCAGGTTGTCCAATGTGTGCATTTGCGCAATCGTAAATTTTTTTTATGATATTTTCATAATTTAGTTTCTCTTCTTTATAAAGTTTGCGCAATTTATCTACCATTTTTACAAATTTCCTACAATTTTGTTAATGAAAAATATGTTTGGATTTTATATTATATTTTAACTATTTAATAACTAACAGGACTTACTCTTTTTCTTCATTCGTATCATAAGTATGAACAAAATCTAAAATATAAAATCACTTTTAAAATAAAATTTTATTTATTATATTATGATGATGAGTTTTAATACAACATTCAGGACACACATCTGTCAAACATGTTAACCTTTGTTGCTTTTTTGTATTTATGAAAATTTTATCTTATTAAAAACATTTTTGTATGTTATTTTAGTTTTAAAACAAATGTTTTGACTTACCAATTAATACCAAAGCGACCAAAGCCAAACACAAGTATTTTGTTAAGATATTCATTTTAATAACACATGTGTATTTTGTAACAAAAATTTTGCTTTTATAGATTATTTTTTTAATCAATAAGGTAAGATAAAAATTTTAATGATGTAAAAAATAATATTCCTCAAATTGTAAAATAACGAGTTGATAATTAAAATTCACCATTAATTGCTAGACAGTAATTGCACAAAGCGACAAAAAAATAAAAGTAGGTTGTCTGAAGGACCAAAGTAGTAGATTTTTTGGTCGCTAAATAGTAAAATATGTAAAAAAATACCGCGCCTTTGTGATGAAACTACAAAAACGATTTTATCTTGTTAGAAATAGGAATAACTTCATAAATGTATATAATTTTTTTAATTTGAATGTGCCAAATAAAAAATCAAGTGGTGTTAAATCTGGAGATCTTGCCGGCCATTTTGAGCACCCCTTCATTTCTCGGTAAACCTTTGGTTTAGGTAGTTTCTGGATAAAATCATATTTTGGCGCATCCACCATTTTTGCTGTTACCTAATCCTAAAAACTGTGATTATCGGATTTGCATTGATTATAAAAGCATTTTTTTGAATGGATTCTCTAACATTTAATATCGATTTCCAATTTTATAAAAAAATATTTTTTTACATTATATTTTAAAAAACATAATAATTATTATATTACTGGGAGTAATAAATATGACACATATTTTGTTTGTATTTATTTTACACAACTTTAAAAGGTTATTATTTTATTAGTAAGCAATAGATGCAGTTATGCCAACCATCGACATCCATTTTCCTCCCATCATATGATTCCTTCATTAATAATTAAGGAATTATTCCTTTATAGTACACAAATGATCTTTATCCTTCAAAATCGCGTCCCAAACATTTTTCATTACCCACCCAGCATGTCCAATGTGTGCTTTTGCACACATATCAAATTTTTCGTCGACAGTTTTAACATTGAGTTTTTTGTCTTTATATTATAAAATATATTTTTATTGTTTTATACATTACTCTTTTTCTTCATCCGAATCATAAGAATGAACAAAATCTAAAATATAAAATTAGATATAGAATAACTTTCTACATTGAATTTTATTTTTAATATATTATGTTTAAGACAAATTTTTTATATAAAATAAATAAAAAAAAGTTCATGATAAGTTTCAATACAAAGTTTCAGTAAAGACATCTGACAACCATGTTAACCTCAGTTGCCTTATTTGATTTGGTTTCAAGAAAACCATTATTGGATGTGTAATAGGATTTTTTTTATTTTAGTTGTAAAAGTAATGTTTTTTTAATTAATTATATATAATTTTTACTTACCAATTATTACCAAACCGACGAAAGCTAAATACAAGTATTTTGTTGACACACGAGGTGTGTTCAGAAAATATCGGGAATTTTCGTTTTGAGAAACAAATATTTATTTATTCGTCTACATTAATGTTGTCGCCTTTAAAATAGTCCCCATTGGATATTATGCACATGTGCCAGCTCTTCCGATACTCGAAACACTCGAAAACTCGATCTTTGGGATAGCCTTTAGTTCTTTCAGCGATGCGCTTTTAATGTCATCTATGCTTGCAAAACGATGGCCTATTTATTTTTGGGTAAATATGGAGGCTGGGGCATCATTACAGTATTGTTTTTGGCCAAAAATGTTCAAAATTTAACAATTTTAGAAAAAATTTTGCTGCCACGCGTTTCATACCCAAAACATTCAAAAAAATTTCATGGGATGAGCCATACTTATAGCAGACTGACTATAGGCCTTTGTTAACATTTCACAGAATTTATTTTATTTTTTAAGCAAAATTGGATACAAATTATTTGATCCATTTCTTTTAACGAAGGAAAAATAGCCGAGCTCATAAAACACGTCTAACCTTAGCGGCTGCCACAGACAAAGTAAACATTGAAAACAGCTAAGGTTTTTATCATACTTCGGGGGCATATATACCAACATAATAAAGAAAATTTTATGAGAACCGGACCCTCCGAACCCGTGAAATTTAACAATTCCCGTTATTTTCTGAACACACCCCGTATTCATTTGGTAATAAACTTATTGTTTTGTACCAAAAAAGTTGATTTTAAAAATGTATTAATTAACATTTTAAATGATAGTTGACATTACTAATAATTATTATTATTTAAAAATTACTTATTAGGAAATAAAAACAGTAATTTAAAAAAAAATAATCATATGCTAGTTTTTATAATACCTGGCATCATAAACTCAAAATAAATAAAAACAAATTGCAAGCGTATTATAATAATAATAATAATAATAATAATAATAACTTTATTAACGGTATGACCAATTTACAATATATATACAAAAACAAGAATCCTATACAACACAATGTAAACAATGCAATAAATATATACACATATACATATATTACGACACGTTAAAAATTCATTCTGAGCTTATGTTTAAATGTTGGCAAAGAAACATTAAAAAAGTCTATTTCTAGCTTATTCGCATTCGCACATATTCGATTTAGTGGCATAAATCTAGCATAGTCTGTTCTTTGTGTTTTTAAGTAAAACAAATTTTTTTGCCTCGTTTGCCTTTGAGGAATATTAAAGTGTATCATTTGAAGCAGCTCAGGACTGTTTATTAAATTATTTAAAAGTTTATACAAAAAAACCAGACCATGTTCGGTTCTTCTAACAGAAAGTAATTTTAGGCCGATTAACTCTCTCATAAACATATAGTCTAGGTTTTCTGTACTCACATTTAACTTATAAGCACAAAAACGAAGGAATTTGTTCTGAACTTTTTCAATTTTGTTTTCCAAATTTGAAAAATGTGGGCACCAAACAACACAACAATATTCCAGGATGCTACGTACAAAGGACATATATACATTTTTTATACAATAAATATTGTTAAAATCTCTTAAGCTACGTTTTAAAAACCCCAGCATTTTTAGAGCTCTGTTTACCATTTGATCAATGTGCTCATTAAAAGTAACCTTGGTATCAAAGTAAACGCCTAAATCTTTGATTACACTTACATTTTCTAAAATAACAGAATTTAAACTATACGGAAAAACAACAGCATTTTTAACTCTATAAAAGTTTATGGTTTTACATTTATTCACATTAAGTTTCATTAAGTTTCTATCACACCATATTTGTATTTGATTCAGGTCTTCCTGGATGTCACAGCAGTCTTCAATATCTTTAATAACTTTGTAAAGCTTTAAGTCATCGGCAAAAAGTAAATATTTACAAAATTTTATGTTATCACCAATATCATTTATGAAACAATTAAACAAAAGTGGAGAGAGATGACCACCTTGAGGAACACCAGACGTAACACTAATTGTTTTGCTTCTAAAATGGTTGTTAATAAGTACTATCTGTGTCCTATGACTCAAATAGCTTTTTAGCCAATGCAATAATTTCCCAGTTATTCCCAAGGCTTTTAATTTATTAAGTAGAATACTATGATTAACTATGTCGAATGCTTTGGAAAAGTCAGTGTAGATAGCATCTACTTGACTTTGATTTTCCAAAGCATTCAACAGGTCTTGTTCAAAAAGAATTAAATTACTTGCCGTAGATTTACCCCTACAAAAACCGTGCTGTTCTTTGATTAGGACATCTCTAAACAAAGGCGTTATTTTATTATTAACAATTTTTTCCAATATCTTAGGGATCTGGGAAATTTTTGAAATTGGTCTATAATTTTTAATATTAGTTTTGTCACCATTTTTATGAAGAGGTATAATAAAGCTTTCCTTCCAAACGGCCGGAAACTCACAATTATTTAGAGACATATTAAACAGCTCAGTTAGGGGTTTAACCAAGGAAAACCTACATTCTTTAAGAATTAAAGAAGGGACACCATCAGGACCAGCACCAGCACCCTTAGAAATATTTAATTTAGACAATTCATCGAATACATCACGTTCACGAATACTACAGTTATTTAAATGTAAATTACTAGCATAATTATAATCAGGTACTTTAATATCACAATTTTTTACGTAAACAGAGCTAAAAAAATCGGCAAATAAATTTGAAATTTCAAAAGTATTATCAGATGTAACATTATTATAAGACATTTTATTTGGCATGAGGTTATTCTTTTTTTTAGTATTCACATACTTCCAAAAATATTGAGGGTTGCAATTGATGTTTCTTTCCAAGGAATCTATATAATATCTATAGCACTCGGCGGTCAAGATTTTACACTGATTTCTCAAAACACTAAATTTATTATAATTAAAATCACTAGAGGACCGCTTAAACTCTTTATGAGCAATTTTTTTTTGGAAAATAAGATGTTTTAGCTCATTTGAAAACCAAAGAGGAAATGTATGCTTTACTACCTTCTTCCTAGGGACATATAATGAAAACATGTAATTTAAAATTTCGTAAAAGGAATTCAAACAAATATTTACATCATTACTAGCAAAAACAACATTCCAATTAACAATATTTAAATGTTCATTAAGACTAGACAAATTTGCATTTTTAAAATCAAAGTAAAAATATTCAGTTTCTATTTCATTATTGGAGTTAGACAAACATATTCTCAAACAGATAGCCGGATGATATTTATCACATGGTAATAAATTATCATTAGCCATTTCCGTAATAACACTTAAATCATTACAAAAAACAAGATCAAGCATATTATTATAAACATTTTTCACAACATTGATTTGATACAGATTACAAAGCGCGAAGCAGTCGGAGACTATACGACACTTTTCACTTATTTGACCAGATGCACGTACACCATGTTCGTCATTGAGCCACTGCGTGTCGGGTAGATTGTAGTCGCCATAGAATAAAGATGTTACATCATCATCCAGGTTGTCCATCAATGATTCAACACTAGCACAGTGGGAGTTATATACATCGACAGTAGAGTTGGGGGGAAGATAAACAACACCAATTAAAAAATTTTTAGATGGTATTTTGACAAATACGAACACTTGTTCAACGTTACTTTCATCAATATGAACAATACTTGACACGTATGATTTATGGACGGCAATAAGAACACCACCCCCACGCTCAAATT